TAGCATACCTCTGCTGCAGCTGCCCACGCCGGTAACGTTGGAATCTATTTCTGCTCGTACCATAGTCGTTTACGACGACCACGTGGGACTGTTGTTCTTCTTAAAAACGTTATTCGTATGTTTAAACGTGCCTTTTTTTTTTTCTATAGATTTATCATTGTTTAATGCGATTAGGTTAAACACATACGCCGCGGCGGCTCCGACGATAATAATTATACGACACACTCGTTGTTTGTTCGGTGTAAATCGCATTAGCCAACAACCGCCGCATGAATACGACTCGGAGCACACCTAAGCAAACAATTTTTAATTTTTTTAATTGTTATCAAGGATCGCTTTCGAGGATTATTGGTGTTTAACCAGTAGCGGTAACAATAAAAAAAAAACGCTCCAGCCCATGACGGCAACGACAACACGTGTGTTGAGTAGGTATGTGTGTAGTGATACAATAATCGTTGTCGTTAAACTCGTTTATTATTATTATTTTTTTTTTTTTACACACATTCCGCGACTCGCCGCGGAAATAGGTTCGAACGTTACCGAGAATTTTTTTTCTCGTTGTCGGAGGCTAATGAAATAAAATAATAAATCGTATAAGCCGTTGATAAAGTCTCTCGCCAGACGATCGATTTGAAAGCAGCGGGGTCACAGATTCCGCCGACAACACCTGACCTTTTTATTTCCCGTAAAAAAAAAATCCATCAAAACTTGGGATTCGAAATTTGGAATATTACTTTTTATTATTGAAATAATAATAGCTGCTCTATTTTATCAATTTACATAACCGGTTTAATCGATAGATTCAGAGCGCTCTACAATATTGGATACCTACACGAAGAATAAAATAATCATTGTCATCATCGGAATCTGAGAACCTTTGTTATGCGATAAACGGTTTTTTATTCATGGTTCATAAGTCAATTGTAGTGTCATCAGGACATTATTTAGTTGTACAATTTGTATTTAAATTATCCCGTCATGTTAGGTCTATTCACAAGTTGTAGGTTGTGTCATTATTAGTAGAATTAAAATAATTTAAAAACTCATTTGGTGCTCGTATTATACAAAACAACTAGTGCCTAGTGTCCAGTGGACATGAATTTCGCGGCTTCTGTGTACTGCAAAAATATTTTTTCCTCCGTGACAGCTCTTTGTAGGCGAATCTGTGTTTTTATTGGAAACTCGTTACAACGACAACATTTTTTTCGAAAAACCCGGTTGTCTGAACACTTACAGTCGGTAGTTAAAAAATAATATATTTTACATTTTGCGCGCTGTAAAAACACTGATACATGTCAGGGATAGGTTAGGTCTTTCAGCAAGAAATGTTTTAAATTGGCATATTTGCACAAGCAGATTTTTACGACCGGAGTTATTGTTATGTAGTGTATTGAATATTATATTGATGTATATTAAGGTAAGGAAAGGCGAGTTAAATTCCGACAGCATCATTGGTTTATCGTTTCAACGACGACGAAAGCAATTATTACAAGCACCGTCGTCTCTCAGTTTGGCTGGCTTTGTAGTATTTCTGTTTTGTGCTCTCAAGAACATAAACAACGTTCTCGAGAGATACTTTCGTTAAGTAAACTCTATTACACCGAGTCGTCTTTATCTTTATACTAGACGCTTAAGCCATCGTTTTGTCAGAGGGTTAGGATTTTAAAATATATTTTTTGTCGTCAGATCTATCCTTTCTTGCGCGTAAAACAAAATAAAAACGTTCCGTCCCGTCTGTCAACTTGAACACATTTTTTTATTACTAGTAGTTATTTTTAGTGGTGTTTATTATTATTATTTTTTTTGAAACAAACTTCACGAGCTATCTTTCTGTATGAGTAATAAAAAAACTAAATTGTGTCGATTTGTAACTAAGCCAAGTGAATAAACGAAGCAGCACCGCACGTGCGTCTTGTCGACTTCAACAAAAGATATCAAATCGGTCTGTGTACTTGAAGGGTTTCCGTTGTTGGGAATATGGTAAATTATAAATCGATAAATTAATCAAAATGATTACATTCCAATGGCGATGGTCAGAAAATAAAATGTATAGGTTTAATTTTTGTGACAGTGTTTTTTTTTTTTTGCGCTTTGGTAGGTGTTGTTTTTATTTTGTAAATTAACAAATGAAGTTGTGATACGCACAGCGGTCGAGTTTATCTGTCCTCATCCAATTATTTGCCGGCAGGCTTTTAAGCCTGTCGGTTAGATCTTTTATCGAGGTAAATCCGTGATAATAATTAATGCTGTACAAATATTAAACGGCCATATATTATGTGTAAAAAAAAGACAAATTCTGCTTCGCGATAAGATTATAATAGTAAATATACTATAATAATTCAAATCACGCGTGAACTAATTGCGTTTGTTTATTTATAAATATGATAAAATCATAAATTATTCGCTTGAACACACGCAAGGACGTTGACATTATATATTATAATTTTTCACACTCGTTATTTACGTAATTCGATAAGTTTTACAAGACTGAGCAAAAAAAAATCCATTGTAATCGGGTCGATTGCGGGGCTGATGACATAATTGAACGGTGTGTGTGTATAAATTAATAGTGGTCGTTGTGCCGCAATACGCCACAGCCGTCGCCGCCGATGTAACACGGAAGACGTACATAATAATGAATATGCAAAGCCGTTTTGAGTTTAGCTTGTACTCGCATTACACTTGTATCGCACACACACACACACACACACGACATGTATAAATTGAAGAAACATTAATTTAGACAATTTAGCGTCGTTGCATAGCGGTCCATTGAGTGTGTTCGCCGCCGCTCCCTCCACCGACTTGTGTGAGACCTTTTCTATTTAATATCTTAAGACACGAACAGGACGACGGTGGCGTCTGCTCGTTTAAGATCACCGCCTAGCTGCGTGCTCCGTATATTTGTACTCATATACAATACAGAAAGTTCAACCGCGTTATTGCCAGTCAATTTTATTTTATCGATCAATAAAGTATAATTAAAAAATAGTATTTTCCAAATAACCGTGGTATTCAAGGGCCACCTTTAGAAGATTTTGTATATATTTTTTTGGATTGCTTAATCTAGAAAATATTTTATTTAAAAATCTGAGGCAATCAAATGAAATTGCCAGTTTTTTTTAATTTTAATAGTTAAATAATAAATTGTTTTTTTGTAAAGTATTCACGCCGTTATGAATATTTAACAATGAACCAAAACTATTTTATAATCAACAATTAATTAATAGGTAACACCTATTTGACCAGTCACCAGATACACATATACCTATTACTTTTAGTATCTAAATTTTCCGGAGAGTAACAAGAATTTGCAAGCATTTCTGCGTCAAAAATGACGTTAATATTATGCAATTAAAAATTCATTTTTTATTTTAAAAATATTCTAGTGAAAACATTGTTACTTTAATAAAACAATACTTAATTATAAATAATAGAAATAAAATTTAAAAAAAGTTTTCAAAAATAATTGCCAACTTTCTTTTTTTACCTATTGATGTTTTATTTTAAATTATACAGATAAGCGGTGCTATGTTAATACGGACGATCGGATGGTAAAATATCGCGAGGTTATCCCGCTTGAAATTGGATGCTGTTCTGGTATATTGCACCGCTTATCTGTACATTTTAAAATCAATTGTCTTTTTGATTATTGTACTCCATGCTACGAGAGAACGCACCCCTCTCGGGCATCTAAAATCCAAATGACTGCTCACGCTCCGCTTTCTTGAGGGCCAATTTCTCCCACCGTGCGAAACCGTACATACAACTGTCAATGTCCACTGAAACCCGAAGCGCTACGACGGCGTGGCGACCGAGCACGGCGTGTTTTGGTGGGAGCCGCTTGAGCAGTTTCTGCAGTTTTGCTCAATGCGCTTCGGCTTTGGCATCTGGATGCGTTCTCTCGTGGTACGAAGCGTAGGTAGGTTATTAGTGTTAATATGTCTTTACCTGTGATGCCAATTTGCATAGGTATTAGGTAGTCATTTAGTTACCAGATAGCAAAACACTTCAGTCAATGAAACGTATTACAATTAGAGACACAGCTTAAATGAAATTTTATTCGTTCCATTTAATAAGTGGTTGCAACAGTTGTTTAATCAAAATGGGTATTTTTTCAGTTAGCATAAAAATTGAAACCAAAAAATAAACACTAATGAATTTTTTTAACCCAATAATATCCTATATAGGTTTATTGGGTTTAAGTTTACCCAAAAACCCCTTAACAGTCAAGGATTTGTATAAAACCGGGGTTTTGACGAATCGATTTTTTCATAGATTAAAATGTTATGTTATCATACTTTAACACATACATATTGGCTGGATTATGTGGTTATTGATTATCTTATTTTTATTTAACAACAATTTTAACAATGATAAAAATACGAGTTTTATTTTTATTTAGATTTTAAATAGTTAAAAAAAAAAATAAGTATGGACGTTTGATAATATGATACCTCTAATGGAGTTTAAAAAACTGTTATTAGATGCAAAGTTTTTGACCGGTAGGGACCCTTGTACCCACTCACACACAACTCATTTTGTATACTCGGCGCATTTTCTCTCTCTCTTCTGTTACACAATAATAGTAATATTATTATGTTTTTTTCGTTGACTAAATTAAAAAAACTGAGATAGTAATTTTATTTAAGCACGTTGTAAATTATCTTATGTCGCCAGAGTGCTTACTCCTATAAAATAACATTGCGACATTTAAATAATTCTCCGCCCGCGACCTGTCTTTTTGAAAAGTCCTTTATTTAAAAATAGAAACACATAAATAAATTATAATTTCATTTAAGTAGCGAAGAGAATGTGTAAGGATCGTTGACCGCCGGCGCGTTCATTCCTACCGAAGCGATTTTATATCCGGTCCACACATCCTTGGCCGAAAGTACTGAAATATTAAGACTCCCTAATTTATGTATATAATAATAGTAACAACTTGGGAGTTAAAAACATTATTTATAACAACATTTGTTTTCTTGTTCGTGTTACAGATGGAATGTCAAAGGCATCACGACGGTAAAAACGATTCTGTGGATCGCACCGAGCTAATGGAAATCGTCCATAGGAAAACATGATTTTCGTCGTCCGTTTTATAGTAGAAAATATATTTTTATGTTTCTCGAGTTATTTTAATTTTTGTTACTTGTAAAAAAAAAAAGAATCAAACTTAATACTAGTAAAAATGTCTCCGGTGGAAAAAGACCAAACGCTCACGTCGAGCTCGTTGGGAAGTTCCATGAATAAAATACCACATTCGCAATCCACACCCGGCGTATCCGGTTCGAAGACTCCACCGGCGACGCCTCGAAGAGGCGGGAAAATGCTCAACGTGCGCATACAAATGCTCGACGATTCTGTCACCCTCTTCCAAGTGCAGGTTTGCGTTTAAGGACTATAATTTTAACAATAAATATGTTTTTTTTTTGGCTGGAGGTAAAACAATAATTTGTCTACACGAAACCATAGACCTACAGAGAAATGCATTATGGACTGGTAGTAGAGTGAGAGAATCTAGGGTCGACATTGTTAGAAAAATGTAGAGACAAAGTGTATCGATACATCTTGGATAGAGAATCTATTTTTCTTGAGAATCTCATAGGTGAAAAAGTTAAATAAATCAAGGAATAATACTCTAACATTATCAACACAGTTTAATGAAATACTGGCGAATCTGTGGTTATTATCTTTGACGAGGTATGATAATGAAGTTACACATTTGAACCAATTTTTATTTTTAGTTTCGGTACATTGTTTATTATTGTGTTACAAATAACTAATATTATTACCTATTACTTATATTTTATACTGAAACACCCTGTATAATTGTTTCTCTAATAAGATTCTTAACTTTTCTCTATCTTTTTATAACAATGATACTCGGATCTCTCTGTCTGTCTCTACTATCAGTTTATAGATGTGTGATTTTAACTACTAAATCATTTTTTTTTTCCATATTTTTACATCCTGTTAATTCGTTGTTTTCAGTCCAAAGCTGACGGGTCGGTGCTATTTGAACAAGTTTGCAAGCAGTTGAATCTCCTTGAAGCAGATTACTTTGGTCTGGAATATCAAGAAGGTTCAACTAAAGTAAGCGCATTGCATAAATCATTTAATTGTATTTGTTTTTATTATTAAATGTCCGTTGTTAATTTCTTTCTGTTTACAGCATTGGCTTGACTTGGAAAAACCTTTAAACAAACAAATAGGACTGTCGCTGGTGGAACCCTTGATGAGGTTTTGCGTCAAGTTCTACACGCCTGACCCTGCTCAATTGGAAGAGGAGTACACCAGATATTTGTTTTGCTTACAAGTGAAACGAGACTTGTCTCACGGGCACATGCAATGTAACGATAATACGGCCGCTCTAATGGCATCTTATATAGTGCAAGGTACAGAAACGGTTTGTTGTATTATATAATTATGTTTATCTATATTCAGTCATTTTTTTTTTTTTAGCTGAATGTGGTGATTATTCTGCGGACGATTATCCAGACCACACTTACTTATCATCACACAAGTTTGTTCCTCATCAAGATAGAGAAATGGAAATTAGAATAATGGAAAGTCATAAAAGACATATGTAAGTCATGTTTGTCTATTGGTTCAATGTTTAATGTTATAATGATAAATTATTTAATATTCTTTTTAAGAGGACAATCTCCAGCAGAAGCAGATTTGAATTTATTAGAAACTGCTCGTAGATGTGAACTTTACGGTGTCAAAATGCATCCTGCAAAGGTTATTGTTTTTATTAAATATTAATGAAGACCAATCAGTTTTAAAATAAGTATGACGATTTCAGGATCCCGAAGGCGTGCCTTTAAATCTTTCAGTTGCTCATATGGGCGTCCTAGTGTTTCAAAATTATACAAAAATTAACACGTTTTCTTGGGCGAAAATTAGAAAATTAAGCTTTAAGAGGAAAAAATTTCTCATTAAATTGCATCCTGAAGGATATGTAAGTCTTTCGTTTCATAACTTTAGGTTATATTGTATGTAAACGGTAATTGTATTTCTCTTTTGTATGTAAAATAACAGGGCTACTTCAAGGACATTGTTGAATTCATTTTCGAAACAAGAAATGACTGTAAAAGTTTTTGGAAGAAATGTGTTGAAAATCATGGATTCTTCAGATGTTTCACCGTCAAACGTTTGCCTCGGCAAAGAACCAAAGTACTCAGTAGGGGGTCTTCATTTAGGTAAATATTTTTTGTTAAATAAAAAATAAACAAATTTTGTTTTTAAAAAATTTTATTATTATTTAATTTAAAAAAAACGAATTTGAATTCTTTATCCTAATAGATACAGTGGTAAAACTCAAAAACAAATGGTAGAATTTGTGAGGGAAAACTTTGTTAAGCGTCAAACATTCCAAAGGTCAGTTTATATGTATTTGTTAAGAAAAATTACATTTGTTATTGTATTTAAACATATATTTGAAAAACACTCATTAAACTTAATTATTAAATTATTTTTTATTTTGTAGTAAGCGACACAAACATTCAAGATTAGCTTGGTTGTGTTTTATTTATAGCATGCAATGCAATTTAGTGATTGGGAATGGAGTTTTGTTTTTACACTTTGTTTTTTTTTTTCAATGAAAGTGGCTCCAAAAACACATCAGAAACAAAACGTTATGTAGTTAACTAAAAAAAAAAAACCGAGACTTGATTAAATTGTTTGAGCTTATTTTGATTAGTTTTATTTTTTACACTTAAAATTAGTTTGGTGAATTAACATTTCATTATATAGCCGAATAAAAAATGTACTGCTATTCTTTAAACTAATGTTTAAACCGTTTTTACTGTAATAATGTATTAATTATCAAAAGCCTTCTTAATAAAAGTTAGACAGCTACTTATTTTCTCTCACTAACTCTCCGAAATAAGTTTTTTTCTGTTGTAATAATTTTTTTTTTACAACCAATTTAAATTTCCATTTAACCTATTACACGTATACTGAAATACTAATAATTATGTAAGTAACATAATGTAGGTTTATTTTTTTAAAAGTTTCTGATGATGTAGAGTTGGGTAGTAAAGGGGTCACTTTCATTGAAAAAATAGTGTTTTTCTACACCTTTGCCCTGTTTCTGCCAACAGGTCTCAATCATTTCGGCATACTGGATTGTCACATTCTACTATATCCAATGTTGGTTCCAGTATTTCAGCACATCCTTTATTACCCCTCGGTATGTTTTTGCTATTTAAATTTTTAGTTAAAGAACTAAAGTACTTAATTTATATAATAAGTATAATAATTTCTACTTGGTTGGAGCCACTTTATAATATGTCGATAACCTCATTACAACTAAACTACAATTAAGACTTACATGAATTGAAATATTAACTTACATCATTTTCAGATTCATGTCTTTGTTAATGTGCTGACGTTTCAACTGGTGACTTTCGCTCTGAGTATGGACTCTGCAATGGGTCAGAAACGTCAGCACATAATTAAATACATAAATACATCCGAAAATTATCAAGTTCATATATGTATGTATGTATTATTATACAATATACATATGTATTATTGATGCTTTTTTCCCCTATCAATTTTTATGGATATCATATTACTGTGTATTTTATACAATTATTTTGAGTATTTTATCTAAAGTGGGCAGTGGCAATCTAATTTTTACAGCAAACGTATACTATTGTAGTGAAAGTAATTTTGTGATATTATATTTTGACGTAAATTATTGTAGGTACATTTTTCATATGCCTTAACTTTAAAAATAAAACAAATGTTTCATTAAAAATCTAAAATGCACATCAGACGTGATATTGAAACATTTATGTTTTTATACATTCTACAATTGCTTAAAAAAAAATATATATCTATATATATTTATGTAACGCTTCATATTATTTTCCTGTATTATTTATTTCGTATGAAAAATGTGTACAATAAATATATTGACTCATTGGTAATTAATTAATTAAATTTAACTTGTAACGTTTAAGCATGGCTTCCAATGTATATTTTACGTTTTAAATTGTTTAAATGTTGGTTACTTAAAAGAAAAAAATGTCTAAATTATAACCTAAACAATTCACGCCGTTATCTTTGTAATTTAGAGACTCCCTAATAATGTACTTCGAGATGATGCCACACCAATTTATTAAAGATTTAAAGAATAGGCATTTTTCGCAAAATCTTATTTTAGAGCTATAAACAAATGTCACACTGTCACAGTCACTTTTAAAGGAGGAATAACACCATGTTGAAGCCAAGCTAATATTTGGTATTTACCCAAAAATATGGGGTTGAGCCGCTTAGTAGTAATATTTGAAATCCAAAAGTACTGTTTTGCTTAAAATGTTTTTGTGTGGTGTCCTCTCGACTTAAAATAAAAAATTGTTCCTTACATTTTTGTACATCGTTTATTTTTTAATTTTTAGCAAATTCGGAAGCCACGAGCCTAGTGGATTCTCCGAGTCCGAACGCAGTCCGTCGCCAGGTGGCGCCTGGGGAGGTGTCGAGTGCTCAAGCTGTACATCCGACGACAGTGACGACGACCACTTCGGACATCACCTCCATCACTTCGTCCCAGCGGTCGTACAGCGTCAACGATCCAGGTCAGAGGCATTCCACCGTAAACAACATTATTATGTACCCAAACGTCGTTTGCACTAGACCGTGCCATCGCATTAACGTGATGAGGTCGACCACGTGTTACGACAGCGAATACGATACCGATAAGTCTTACACGTCTTCGAAATTTTCCGAACCCTATAGGGACATTAGGTGCCAGTCTAGTCAGACCGATTTAATACTCATCGATAGACCCTACCCCTCTCTCCTCAGCTGGCAGCGGAGCTCGAGTTGCAAAGAGTTTAACAGCTCTCCCAGGTCCGGTTCGGGGGGCACGCCTCCCGTCGACAACGAGGAGGTGATGAATTATTCTTTCGACAAGAACAGTCCTTTAGATCACCATCGTATCACGAAAATTTTTTCTAGTAGTTACCCCGGTACCACTTCCAGCTTGTCCACCGAGAGCGGTAGCGACCGTAAACTCGAGAAGGCCGGCAGCGTCCGCAGAGCGGTCGATCCGGCAGACGATCTGTACCAGGACGACGTGAGCCAAGACTCGTACGAGTTGTTGGAAAAAGAGGAAGTGTTCGACGTGAACGCCAGTGACGATGACAAAGACGACAACGACAACGACGAAATATTCTACGCCGACATCGATTTCAAAGAGGAGCACATGCAGGAGATTGAAAAGCGATTGGGTTACTTGGAGCCCAAGTACAGGGATATGGAGTTCAACAAGTTCAACGAAATTTGTAAAAAAGAAATGGCTTCCCGCAGCAAAGAGCAGATATTCATCGACAGCCCGATGCGTTTCATCGCGTTCGAAAACAAAACCGACACCGTCGTCACCGGTCACGTGCCCGTCGAACGTACGAAAAGCGACTCTTACATGAGCGCCCCCAAGCCCAAGCCACATAGACTGCTCCATCAGAAGTCTATAGACCTGACGCCCATGGACTCGTATGAACCGACAGCGGCGGCTAAGTTCGATCTGGACATTCCTTATACCCTTCACAAGCGCCAGACGCCCGACACATTGTCTCCAAACGAGGTCAAGTGGTCGACTGTCGTTTGCGGATCCGACCATTACTCGCAGGACTCTGGCCTTTCGTTATCCACTCAGTCGACCAGCAACGTGAGTGTCGAGAACGACAGTCCGATCGATTTGAACAAGCTGCTGCTCAACAAGCACCATGACGACGTGGTGACCACTTCAAAGAGTACCGAACTCATTCAAATGGCGTACAAGTCGTCGTCGTTCAACGAGTCGGACGTATGTGCGGCGAGACGGGCGGCGGCGGCCGACAAGCCGCATAAACTCAAGTCTTGTCACAGTGCTGATAGCGTGCCGACGAACAGGTCCAAGCGGATATACTATCAACCGCTCAGCGCGGACAACGCCCGTCATAGGAAAAAAGTGGACGTGATCAAAATCGAGCCGACCGCCGTCGTCGGCGGCTCGGCAAATAGCAAAGAATTAATAATTATCGAGTACAGCAGTGACGGTAAGAGTAAGAAATTGAAAAAGGACGGGTCGGGCGGAAGTGCGGAAAACAAAAGTTTCGCATCGAGTTCCGGGGTTTCGCCCGAAAAACAAGTCGCTGCTAAACCGGTGACGGCCAATGTTTTCAAGTCGTCTGCCGTCAAAGTGAAGATCGCTTCGGCTTTGGCGTTGAACAGCGGCGTTGGCTGCGTCCACGTGGTGCCCAATGCTATGAACGAACCAACAATTATGGACGTAGACGCATTGACCGATATCGTGTCCAAGTCTGTGCAGAGTTTTCCCGAGCCGACTTGCTCCGTACCGGTTGAGGGCGTCGCCGAACCCGGAACAGGCGTCAAGGACGAGGAACAAGTAGTTCCTGATGGCCGGGCCAAAAGCGTTGACAAAAGCCCAGGGTCGAACTTGAAAACCGCGCTGCTCGATTTGGTGTCTACGGACCGAACGTCGGAAACGCGGCAAGAACCCGCTCCAGAATCGTCCAACAAGGATGCCAAGATCAATCGGTTCAAATCGCTGGCGTCGAAAATAGCCGCTTTCGACGCGTTCACAGATAACATTAAAATCGCGGACAAGTCGACTGCCGAATTGCCTAGGAAAAAATTACCGGAAAAAATGCAATTATCTAATAAGCGCGTGAAATCGCCTGTCCTTTTTGCCAGGTTAGGCCTATCCGAGAGTTCGGCTTTCCCGAATAGCTCAGGACAAGGTCATTCACAGCGGCGTGCCGTTTCTCTGGACTCGCCGGTCGTGTCTTTGCACCAGTTGCCGTTGGTCACGTCCTTCTCCAGCAAAGACGATACGGTAGACGACCCCGAGGACGGTGTCGGGCCGGAGGAGAAACCGATAAGATGGTGGGACGACCACGTCAACGAGACAGTCGTTCGGTGTATGGCCGACATGGTCGAAATCACCGTGGCCGACATGTCAGAAGAGAAGAGGGACAGCGTGACGTCGCTGTCGCCGAATATGACGCCGGAGAGGCGTCGGTCCAGCACGCGACAGGAACGTTTGGACTCGTTCAAAAAGTTGAAGAACTTTGAAATGGAAGTATGGGAATCGAACGATCTGAATGCGGCCGTTGCCATCGATTTCGAGCATAAAGACTTTGAAGATGAAACGTTTGCCGAACCGCAGGTGGAAGTGGAAGTCGCGGAATCTTCAAGACAATCGGACGGCAAAACCGACATCAAAGGGTTTACCGACGATGAGTCGGCTTCTGTGGACGAATCCGCCGACAGTAGCGCGGAGATACCGTTCAAGGAACTCAATTCTGTGAGTTCGGACGAAGCAAAACGCTCGGCTCAGAACAACGAGCAAAACACGGTTTCGGAACATGTCGAAGAACAACATTCGCCGATAAAACCAGTCGAAGAACCGCCGTACGACGTACCTTGTTCGTCGCCCGAAGCGCTCGCCAAACCCTCTGTCGATAAGCCCGCTGAAGAACGGCGAGACAGCGCAGCGCGTTTGCCGCCTCCCGAAGCGCTCGCCGAAAACATAAATCATGCCGAACTGATTAATAAATTGGGCTGTATCGAGATTCCGTCCAAACAGGACTCAAAACGCAATAGACTATCGGTGGAGAGTTCGGGCAGTTCAAGCCTAGACGATCCGCCGCACATGGACGACACGAGCGGCAATATGGCGGACGACGAAGACGTGACGTCCAGTCCACTACCTCCGACGCCGGACGCCAGTTATACCGGCATGTATCTTATCGGATACGGCATTTACGGCTTGTCGAGAACGTTGTCGAGGATCAGCGAGCAGAGTACGTCGGAGCGTTCCGAAGTGGACGACGAGCTCTCGACCAAACACTCGACTCAGTCGGCGTCTTTTGACGATTCGATTCTATCTAGTGATTATTGTCAACCCAGTCTGTGTTCCGACGCCATGGACAGTCTGCCGGACTTGCCTCCGTTGCCTGAAGAGTATGCCTTTGAAATACCGCCGCCCGCGGTTGATGACGTCGACTGGCCGTCGCCCAAAAGTGAAGAACGCACGCCGGTCGGGCCACAGCTGGGACGGTTTGAAGACGACGAAGACGATGACGCCAAAACCATACACAACGAAGACGATGACGATCGCGAAGGAGCGATGACCGGTGAAGAGGGTGAGGAGGAGGAGGAGGAGGAGGAGGTAGCTCCTCGGCGGCCGCATTCCACCAACAAGCCCAGGCTGTCGCTAGGTGACGACACGTCGGCCGGTGTGTCCACCTCGGAGTTTTCCAGCAACGCCACCATAGTGTACCACTACGACAACGTGTGTCCGCCGCCGGAATTCCTGTCCAAGGCTGAACACTCGGACGAGTACGATTCTCCGTTCACCGATGACTCCGACGAGTCCAAGTCTTACCACCGGCCGTCGGGGCACTTGTTCGAGTTGCCCAGGTCCACCGGCGTCCCGGCCCGGCCCAAGGGCCGCCTGTCGCACGGCCCGTCGTCGTTGGATGCCAACACCGGGACGCCGAAAACCAAGAATACCGCACGGGCCCGGTGTCATTCCTATTATTCGCTGCCCCGCAGTCCACCCAGTGACGGGTCGTCGTCGTCCACCCAAGACTCGCCTAACGTGCCTAACACCATACCCAGGGCCTCTAGACGGAGACGTTACACTCACACGCTTAAGAGAAAAGCCAAAATCATACAAATCACCAAAGTCTAAAATTGTCTGTCGAGGAGAGAGAGAGAGAGAAAGGGAGGGACTCCCCTCCCAAAACGCTTAGCAATGTCTCGTTAAGTACTTCCAGCCGAATAAAAATGTTGTTTGTGCAAATAAATAATAACAATACAAATTATTAAATTAGTAACAATATTGAGAAGTTGGTTAAACTAAAACCATCCAAACCCAAAAAATAATCTGTGTTTAGTCCAAAAAACAAAAACGGGTACAGGTAGAAGTGCATAACAAATGCATATATAGGATTCGACAGATTAATCTGGAATGTATATGATCACCATTTCTGCCTAAAACGGTGGGGTTGAAATAAACACAAATGTGTTGATGTATTTCTATAACATACAAGTGAAAATGTTTTTCTGATGTAAATATTTTCATTAATACAATCGATGACGTGTCTCAATACTAATTAATGATTATGGTAATATTTTGTAATTAAAAAAAAAAAAAAAATCGCATCCAATAAAAACCTAGTAGTCGGTCTTTTTCTTGTTTAAGCCCAGCAAATGTTTGGTATTCGCCGAAAAACATGGGGTTTTATTGGATGTAATACCCCAAAAAAAAAAAAGAACTTATTGGTCGGGGTAAATGGCAAGTCTTAACGTTATTCCAAAATACTATCTAGTATTTATAGTAGTGTCGTCTCGACGTTGGTTTTGTTCGTTGTCGTAACACGATTTTCTATTTGTATACGGGCACACTCTTACCAAAATGATAAAAAAATATTTATACATATATTCGCTATTATATAATAATAGACTGATATGATAGTAACGTTGGTGTACCCCCTCCCCCCCCTGCCTGCCCCCCAGCGAAAACTGAAACAAACTAGTAATGTTAAGTATCATTAGCGGTGATAAATAGGTAGTTTTTTTAATATTGACTATAATAATGTTTAAATTGATTAAAAAAGTAAAGCCGCGTACGTAAAGAGAGAGAGATATGAAAACATTTTTTTATTATTCGTTGAAAGTCTTTTTCTCTTTCCAAAACTTCGGGTTGTTGTTACGTTTTTTAAACAAATTTTTTAAATAGTAGCTGTTTATTCAATTTAATAATAATAATATAATAAAGTGTATTGTCTTCCTGTTAATGTACTACTATGTTAAAAAAAATAAAATATAAATAACGTCTTTCAACTGATAACACTAATGTTTTTTTTAAGTAATAGGAAGTGTTGAGAACCAAAAGAAGACATAATCATTATGAATTAATTTTTGGTATTTTCGGAAAAACGAGTAGAAAAAAAAATTGATATTTTTTCCTTTTGTTTAATAAAAGTTACTCGCTCTTTTGGTGGTTCTCATCAATTATTAATTATCGATAACACAATTGTTTTCAACAAACACAATATTATTACAATATTGTGATTCGATTGTAACACCAAAACGGTGTGTCACTTGATTTTATTATTATTTTTTGTCAATTATTATTCAATAGGAATTTGTTTACCTCCCCAAAAAAAAAAAGTTGAAAATTTCTTTGTACGTTTTAATGTGTTTATTTTTTAGGATACATTTTTTATAAATTCTATTGGTTTTGATTTGAACTATAAAATGTCATCATTAAATGTATACATATTATATTATGTTTTTTTTTTTTATTCGACTAGGGACGGTTACATGTAAACCGTTTTTCTTTTTGTACGACTTTTATTAAATTTATTACTATTATTATTCTAATTATATTTTATCGTTAAAACTATAATGTATAAATAAAAAAGGATTATTATACAAATGAAGTATAAATGTAAAAATAAATTGAATAAAACAATTCACAAATAAATAGGTTTTTTTTTAATGGTTTATTAATAAAATTATTATTCACCAAAACTTATTAATTATCAAACGGGTACTCATTACGGCGGAGCGTATTTAAGTGAGTTTTAAAAATACATTTAATAGTTTTTTTTTTTTTTTTTTGTAGAGTAGGTTCCCTTTGGTTATAGTTTAAATCGTTTGTCAAAACCATACCTTTCATCAAACACCGCTTTTCGTTGTTTTTTTTTTTTTTTTAAATTTGATTTGTCGTTCGTTTGTATTTGCGTTCGCATTATCGTTTTGTTGTAAAACAATTATTGTTCATATTTTTATGATTTGCATTTATCACCGACCCGTTCCCGTTTAGTTAATTGTTTAGCACTTATGACTTGTACGAATATATTTTGTTTCAGCATGAATATTATTGTTTATTTTTTTCCCTCATTATTTGAACCGTAGCCAATTTATAAGTGTTATATTAAAGTAAATAATATAAATTCTAGGTGATACGCCGGAAGAAGTGGACTCGCCGTTCAAAAAGATCAACGGTTCAACATCGTGTTTATCAACCACATCCGCCAGAGAAAACGGCTTGACGACGGTGGCATCATCGACGCCGAAGAATCACATGTCCAACGGATCGTTGGGAAACATAAAGTAAGAACGGTGTTAACGTTAACTAATGTCGTATAGTCCGTGTATTAATTCCGAGTTATTAATTTGTAGCTCTGACATTTACAACAATATTACCACAATTATCAACACGACCAAAGACGATACATCGCCGAAGCACGTGGAAGTCAACACCGACACCAAACGTAAAGTAAGCATCGGGAGTTTTTTTCATCGTTACGAGGTGTGTTAATTATTCGATGTTTTGGATTTTCAGCGGCCAACAGACAGGGCCTATTTTATCACCAAAGAAATTTTAATGACTGAGCGCACTTATAGAAAAGATTTAGAAGTGATCAATTTTGTAAGTTTTGTGCAATGGATTCATGTTTTTCAGTTTTTATTACCATTTGTTTGATCATGTTTATAGTGGTTACGCGATGAGATGAGTAAAGAAGACGACGAAATGGGACCGGTCGAAGCCGTGAATATGTTGTTGCATTTGATTGATCCAATTTATGATGCACACTCCGCTTTTTTGAAAGATATAGAAATGAGATTAAACAGTTGGGAACCGCCGTGCATCGCCGACGTTTTGTTACAACATTTTAGCCACTTAGATGTAAGTTTATGACGATTGCCTAATCGTGTGGTCAATGTGCTATATTTAATTGTCTGTATTTCCTAAGTTGTATGACCATTACTTGGACGAACATTTGAATGTTCTCGAAAAAATTGACCACACCTATCGTACCAACAAGAAATTTGAAGCATTTTACAAAGACTTTGAAATGGAAAAAGTCTGTTACTTGCCGTTGTCTGCGTTTGTACTAAAACCCCTTCAAAGACTGCTTCATTATTCGCATTTATTAGAAAGTGAGTAATACGAAAATCATTTAAATTGGGCATTATTCGATATATTTTTATTTGAATGATAATTATTAATTTAAAATAAAAATCATTCGTGGTTATTTTTATTTGCGAATAATGTGATTCTTGAATAAAAAAAATAAAAATGACATGAAAAATAATTAAAATTTTTTATAATTAAACTTGTTTGTGAATAAAACTCCCATTTAAGATCTTAAGTGTTCTAGAGACTTAAATTGCTCATTTATGATACACAGAATTAATAAGGCATTACAGCCCTTCGCATCTCGACTACAACAATTGTCTCGAAGCTCGGATTAAATTGTTGAAAGTGACCAAGAGATTGCCGAGCGCCCTTAGGAAATCTGTAAGCTAATAAAATGTTATAAAAATTATTTTTACTTATTACGATTATTAACTGTTGTATTTCCAATTTTTTTTTCCCTGAAGGAGAACTTTGTGCAGTTGTGCGAACTGGAAAGAGACATGATCGGAATCGATACGTTACACGATCCGGGACGAGAGTTTGTACGACAAGGGTGTTTGACCAAGTTTTCTCAGAGAAAAGGTTACCAACAGCGCATGTTTTTTCTGGCAAGTTGAAGCATGTTTTAAAAATATTGTATTTTTATTTTTTTTTTAGCAGCACCGTCTGTGCGGCGGCGCGCTATCCGTACATAATAATCGTTTTGTGGAGGGTCACTATATAAAGAAATCATAATCATTGTAACATTTTTTTATTATACAATAATATATTATACACACTTAATGAACTTATATTTAATTAATAGTAAATTTCTTTAACATTCCTCTTAACCTTATACAGTCTTGAAATAATGTGCAATAAATACACTTTTTTTTTTTTTTTTGACACAATACAAAATTGTATAATTACGCAGACAAGTCAAGTATTGTTGTGAAACTGATGAATTTTTAAAATGTTTTAATGCTTTTATAGTACTGTCCAATAGTAGACCTAATAGATATCTTTTGATGGTTTGTAATTTTGATTAATTTTATTTGTAGAGGCTAAAAACAATATATCGTCATATTTGCGGCTTTTTATTTGTTAATGATGATTTTAAGAGCTTTTTGAGAGTTTCAAGCTTAACAGACACGTTAACTACACGTTTACAGACAAAATTGATAGATTATTAGAAAACGTTTATAGAAATATTTAAGCGATTGTTATGATTTTAGTTATTATTATTTTTTTTTTGTATTAGTTAATATGTGTGAAATACTTGGGAGAGGAATTTTTGATGAGATTTTAAACTATTTTTTGTATTATTTATTTTTATACTGTTTCAATTTGATAAGTTAAAAAAAAAAAAAAAATTAATAGTTTTCAGGTGAATAATAGACACGGGTTTATTTTGTATTTACATGTCCATGTTTGTGCTTTTCGATTACATCATACTCTTGTTTGCCGCACAGGCTTTCCATACAGCTTTATTTTTAACTAGCTTAAAAAAAAAAAAAAAACGAAAAAAATGTGTTCAGCTTTAACACTAGTGTTGCGCTTTTGTGCATGCCATTATAGATGTCTGATATGTTGTTTTACACGGCAAGGGTCGGCCACATGTTCCGCGTCCACGGCCAGATATCCCTCAACGACCTCGTTGTTGAAGAACGAACTGACAATCCGACCCAATATTCTTTTTCCATCTATTCAAATAACAGGTACGACCGTTGTCGGATATATTTAGTATTACAATTTAAAAATTGTGTTAAAGAGTTCAATGTTTTTAATTTACATCTTGTTTTTTTTAGAGTTATCACCATTGCGGCAAACAGCCAAGAAGAAAAAGACAAATGGCTGGAAGACATCGCCGACAGTGTACAATCATACAAAGGGGAACGTACGACGCACATCGAACCGCCGAGCATTTATTTGAGTTTGAAGTCTTGTAGTAAGAATTTTTATTGATTTCCCCCCCCCCGCCCATCTATTTTAAAACTACAGGTTGTTAAATTATGAATTTTATGTTTTGCAGGTTCGTCCGACGATATGATGAGCAACAACGGTGACTGTAACGGAGTGCTATCCGAATTAAATAACAAAACTCCTGGCGGCGTGCAAAGAAACAACACAACCGTTCATGTGTGCTGGCATCGAAACACCAGTATCGGGATGGCCGACCATCTTAAAGCGATCGAAGTAAGTGCGCAGATAGATAATTAAATACTGACGACTTGATCTTATGTTTGTTTAACATTCACATTACAGAACCAGTTGAGCGGTTTTTTGTTACGTAAATTCAAAAACAGTAACGGCTGGCAAAAGTTGTGGGTTGTGTTTACCAATTTTTGTCTTTTCTTCTACAAATCCTTCCAAGACGACTCACCGTTGGCCAGTTTGCCTTTGCTTGGCTACAGTGTGTCCAAACCCAACGAAAAAGATTCCATTCAGAAGGATTTCGTTTTTAAATTACAATTCAAGAACCATATCTACTTTTTCAGGGCCGAGAGCGAATATACATTTGGAAGGTAACTTTAAGCGCTTTTTGTATTAAAAGATTTAGATTTATGCTGAGAAGGTTAACTATGAAGTGTTTTTTTTTTTAAATTTTTGTGTCTAGACTCAAAATATGTTAAAATATATTCCCTGTCGACCGATGTCCTCGAGTAGCAACACTATTGATCCGAAATTGTATGCGATTAATACTTTGGTACATCCTTCATCCCTTAAACCAAAAACAGTTTTTTGGTTTTCCACCTAACAGATCAGGTCGAATCTAAATTTTTTTGGAACATTTATTCATAAATCGCCTCAAATCTAAATTTTAATAACTTGCCTCTACCCCTTAGGCGAAAGTGTTTTTGTTTTTTAAGAACGATTTAAGACTGAGCCAAAATATATTATACCTATTGGCTATCCTCCCATAAAATAATTATCAAATAACCCAAATATGAATTAATTGTCTATAAAATGATTTATATTTTATTATTTTTAACATCTACAAGGCGTTTTTTTGTTTTTAAAGTGATTTTTATCACTATGGGCTATAATAATATCTGAAGACCTCTGCTTTGAGCTAATTGTGCCGCCGTTTTTAATAAATTTTACTGTCTAATATTTTTCAGGTGGATGGAAGTGATTGGTAGCGCGACACAAAATTCAGGTCGTATGAGACTGTTTAGCCGCAAAGACAGTGATAACAATAACACCGGTTTAATAGTCAAGTGAAAAAATTAAAATCAAAAAAACTGTTTTATTATTGTAATTTTTTTTTTTTTTTTTTATGAATTATAAATCACGAGACATAGCTGTTAAGGACTTCTAGTTAATTTAGTTATCGAAAAACAAGTTTACACGTAACTAATCCATCCGTTTCATTCCTCCCATTATTTTATTATATGTTAATATCGTCTCTCATGATTTTTATCGTATAATCGTTATTTATAATATGTAATTATTTTTACTCTTCACTATTTATTTATTTTACTATCTATTTATAATGTGTAATGTTAGAAATCATTATAAAACGTTTTTAATAGATTTCTTGCGATTTTTGAATAACATAACAACAATAATAAATTAATAATGATATATATATATATATATGTGTATTATGATATAAAATAATTACAATGGCTATGTATTATTGAATTATATAATTATTGAATCCGTGTACTTTAGTTATTTATTGTAATTTTTTTTTTTTTTTTGTATATCACATTCTAATATATAATATGCTTGACATAATAATATTATTACGATACGACAAATTTGTTCTTTTATACTTGTTAAATAAAATTATATTTATTATATATTATAACTGTCTTTTTTCATTTTTTAAATAAGAAAGTTTATTTGGTTTATCGAGGAACACCATAAAGTATAAAATTATATTTTTACATATTAAATAAATAAATAAAATTAAAGTTCAATTGAGAAAAATAAATTACACGTTTCCCTTTTTTCAGGTACAACGTCCTGATATCGAAACGTCACTGTCTGGTGACATCTGTCGTCGCAGTAACGTTTTAATACCAGGACCAATATAAATAAATAAATATTCTGTGTGTTTTAGGTTAAGGACACGATTTTAGGCGAGTACACGCCTATTATCGTTTCGACGGTGGTTGAGCGTTGTCTTCGGAAACGAAGTGCACATAAGACGTTTTCACAACAATGATTCCAGGTCGATGGACTTGTCGCCGTAAATGAAATCAAACACTGTCTGCTCCATGGTGTCGTCTTCTAGGTTCTGAGAACTTCGCATCGATCGGTCCGACGACACTAGGTTATCCTCGTTAAACTCTTCGTTTGTGTACCGGTCGCGAATGTCTTTCATTATGCACGATTCCAATTTTTTGTGCTGAAATTCAACACGGATAAATTGTTATTGTTTTTATAAATTGTATTTTCTGTATTTTGACTATTACTTTGTAACACTTGAAGAAGAACATCGGGCGAACCAGTTCTTTGGCGAATTTGTCTTTTCTCTCGTCCGGAACGCACAGCTAAAGTTTGGCAGAAAAAGTTTGCATTCCATCATTAAACCAGTCACCCCCCCCCCCCCAAAAAGAAAGAAAATGCTAATGTTTCAAATACCAACCGAGAACTGTTTACAGTATTCTATGCCGTCGATCATGTCCTGTTTGAGTTCTTCGGCAATGGGCAGCCGCCGTACCCTCTCGTTCATGTTCTCGTAGTCTGGTTCCATATTGTGATTGAGCTGTAGTACAATTATTTTAGTTAAATACAATCAATTTGCAAAAATTTCAATTCATATAATTTTTGTGTCTTATGCGTGGACCAGGCAGGCTGGGGGGACTACTTGCACGAAGTAATTCCAATATTCGTTTACATCTCTTGAGCTTAATTTTTTTTTTTTTTTAATTGTCAACATTGTGTGTACTACTCACGTATCCGAGTTCTTGCATGACGCACGTGACGTTTCTTATCTTGCCGGACATTTTTGTCGTCAACGAGTCCAGTTGGTTGCGCACGTCGAATCCTCCGACTCTCTGTGGACAACGAGAAATTGTCAGCAACACAATTTTAAAGCAACAACAACACTCAGGGTAGGTAAGTCGGACGAGTTATTCTATTTTCCCGTGGTTCACGACACACACGCGCACTCATGTCGTTGTCGGTTACTTACCGAAGTCCGGTGCGTGGGAAAGTACGGTTGATAGTAGGGCTGGTACATCTGACCGCTGGCCATTGTCGGCGGCATCATCGGGTAAGCCCCGGGATACACTTGCTGGGGAGCCGGCGATATCCGTGGGAGGTACATGTCGTTGGTGTTGGCCATGGACGGGTTCGGGGGATAGAACAGCGAGTTGGGCATGTAAGACTGCTGTTGGTCCATCAACGAACTCCAAGGTTTGATGTGCTGCTGGGCCGACTGTTGTTGTTGTTGTTGTTGCGGCTGTGCCGATTGTTGCTGAAAAGCGAAAGACAAACATTTATGTAAGCGTGTTGTAATACATGACGTTAAGTACACAGCACGAGTTGTAAATGGAAGTTCAAAGTTGTAACTTCAAAATGGACCTCGACGTTTTGGAGATTTGATCATTTTAGTCTCTATTAGAGTCGTACGTTCTGGTCAAAATTCTACTAGAAGTTATACAAAGCTAATAAATTATTAAAGTATTCGTATTTTGCAGATTGTTATAAAAAATGTACAAAAAATAAGGTTAACCTTTTATATAGTCTGCTCTTAAAATAGGAAAAATCGTATTTACAATAAATATACTATAGATAGTTTAGAATTATATATTTTCAATATTTTCTTATCAACGATGTTCATTAGCTTTTTTTCAATATTCTAGGACATAAAATATATTATTTATTATAGGAATAATAAATAATTATTGGAATATTATAAAAAAACTGTTTTTTACGGACGAAACAAAACTAAATTGGCTTTTGCCTACCTAGCGAAGGAGCGATCGATCGACAACATGGGACCCTGGTACGAGCCGTGCGGAATCGCTGAGGTACCACACACTCTGTATACGGAAGTGGCTTTCCGGTGGAGGGGTAGAGTGACATGCGCAGGTGGCCGTTACAAAGGTAAGACACTTCAGAAGGGAATATCTGCCCGCAATGCACTTTGCCTTGTCGCGGTGGTGTTTGTTCATGTTGTTGTCTTTTGGTTTTTTTTAAATGTTTTTAATAAATTAACGTGACAACTGGACAAGTATACACAACAGTCATTGGTTATAATTGCCGAGGATCACTTAAAAACAGTATTAAATTAAGGAAATTACACTTAGTCTAGACCAATTAAAAAAAATATATATATATTAGGTCAACTTAATCTAAAAAAACAGTTATTCACGGTAGTTAAAATAAATAATTATTTTTTATATAATTTTATGAATGATTAAGAAAAGTTGTAGGCGCAATGTTTTTCTGGTGGAAGATAAATTTGCGTTAAAAAAATATTTTTTATTTGGCTATTATTTATCGTTTTATTAATGATCTTATGAATTTGAACTAATGTTTGTGCTGTCGTCGGGTTTTGTTTGTATAATGAAATATAATTTAAATGTGAATAGTATTAGTAAACCCATGTGGAATAATGTAACATTTTTAAAGATTTTCGTGGATGACAATGAAAAAAGAAACATTGTAAAATCGAAAACGAACTCGATTAGATTAGCTTGTAGGTCACCTGAAATTCGCATGATGATTTTTACATACCGCAGCGACGGTAATTTTCCGCTTATGACTCGGCAGGCCGTTTTTTATTTCGGCTAAACCGATTTGGCCGACCTAAAGAAAATAATATAGCGCAATCTGTCGTCGTGTAACACAAATATAATGTACGCACATAATATAAAAACCGACAACCGAAAATGCGAAAAAAAACTAAGGCGCGGACCGAGTTTAGAACGCCAATTATTATCTTAATATGTGAGGCGGTTCCCCTTTTGACGGTTATATAAGTACATTATAATATAACGTCTTGGTATGAAAAATGGTCATTTGTAATTAAATTACCCGTGTTGGCCCGGCGGAATTAATAAAACGTTAATCCCGAGACCAACGACAATCGCATCAAGTACTCATTAAGGTCATTAAACAATAAGAAAAAAAAAAAATGTAATGATACCTAATCGTGTGATTTTCAATTGTAGATTTCGACCAACAGACGCGCTTACGGTTAGGCAGGCGGTCGTTAGAAATGAAATATTATTATTATTATTATCTATTCCTTGAAACGTTTTTGTAATTGCTGACTTTTTGTACTGCGATGATTACGGTATAATTTGTGGACAGAACAGAGGACTTGGTTGACCGAGCTCGTTTGCTAGGGACAAAACGGGGGGGGGGGGAAATCGATACACTTGAGTTTTCCAGACAACATTCCATTGTAATCATCTAAGAAACACAAAATATAGGACAACCGAGTCACCGAGTTTGGCGATACAAACTGCGGCTACCTAATTCGACTTGACTTGAATTTGCGCCGTGCTTACCATGTGTTTGTTGTATCCGGCCAAAATGACTTGTTGAAGTTTGGTCAGGTCGAGGCCAGGTTGGTTTTTGCCAAACGAGTCTTCCTGGTGGGCCGGTGGTTTGGTGGTCTGGTGCTGGTGTAGGCCGCTGAAATCGTGCAAGTTGCCCTGGCCCATGGACGTCTTGAGCGATGCCAAATTCGGCGTGGGCACACTCATGGGCATGTTGCCGTTGCACTTGGCCGTGGCCACTTTCATCTCTTTCCGCACTTCCTTCACCACTTCCGGACCGAAACACGTCTCGTACACCTAAAGCGGAAGAACGATTGTGAAATTGCCTTTACAACGAAAGCTACGCAGAGCCAGCTCAAAGAGATGTGTCGATCGACAGTTACACATTTCCTAAATGATATTTAATTATAATAAAAAAACGGGTTAACGTTTTGGAATTAATTTCACACAGTCGGCTTTGTAAGTTGCCGGCTACTCCATTGGGGATATAAAAAATTGAATACACTAAGTTATAATTTAGAATACAGCGTTTTGAGTAGAAATACTAGTATTTAGCCGAGCAGTCGGTGCATTGATGAAAACTAAGAGATTACTACAAGACGCGCAAGATCAACCTCGTTGGCGTCGCTAATAACGTGATTTTTAAAGATGTCATATCATAAAAAAAACTATAAGTGATCGGTCATTTATATTGGATTTTTTGCACCGTTTCGATAAACGGTAATGGGTTAAATTTTGTATTTTTTTAATAATAGAACCCCAAGCGGGTCATATTGTTATCTGTCGGCAAAGTGGCCACTTAATGACGTTGGAAAACATTATTAATCTGCAAAATTGACACGCCGGTGTGAAATGATTTTTATTAGTCCCACTACACTACGGTTTCACACTACAATACCGAATACACGGGTACGCAGTTAAATTGAAATCGGACAATAATAAAAGCAATCGGTCTGTTCGCGTTATTGATGATGTTCTATACCGTACCTTCATCATGGCGTATTTTTTTATGAACTTGTCGTCGCCGGATGTGAATGCCAGATTACCGTTGACGCGAAGAGCGCTAATGAGCGCAACAATCCGGAAAATATTATTCATTGCGGTGTGCTAAACAACAAAAGGGTAAAAAAAAAAAGTTACACGATTATATTATTATGAAAAAAAAAAAAAACAGTGGCAACGAATCGTTCGTCTAACGAATAGCTTTAATAAGCAGCTGTCGGTGTACGCGACGACTACGCGTATCACTGAACTCGTCAAAAGTTAAGTGATTAATTTAACATTTTTTATTTTATATAATTCTGAAAATTTTAAAACGCTCGGCGTGAGTAATTTTTTTTTCTCGACAATTTGGTTATGCCCTTAATAATGTCGATTTTCGAGAAAAAAAAACAAAACAAAACACTCGCGCCATTTTATAGTTTTGACGGGCTCAATTACTATAAAGTTAGTTAATAGCACATAATATAACAGCTCGACAACGACCATACTAATTTATTAGTTTGAAATATTATCATTTTATTCGTGTTGTCTTTGTTTTTTTAAAATTATCGGTGCAAAATATTGAAAACGTTTGTTCACCCGACAAGCACTCGTTGCCACGTTGCTGAGACCCTGGTACGAGGTTCAGCCGCAAGTGACATAACCTAAACGGCGCCGCTGTGGTACTAGGTCAGGGTTGGGGTCCGACTAAGGTGGTCTGGGTCTGGGTCTGGGTCTAGTTCGAGGACAATATGTGGCATTGATCGGCAGCAAGGTTTTTATTCGTACACAGCTACTGGCCAAATCGGACTGATGAGAATCAAAAACATACAAGATCATACTACAGTAGAGCAAAACGAGGTATTTATTCTTAAAAAAAAATTAAAAAATTCTTGAAGCTAGGTGGTTCCGTACCTATTACTTTATTTTTAGTACGGGTCGAAAACAGCTTTAGATGAAGCTTTAACAATTAATTGTTTTTATTTGTAAATTAGTAGTGTAGCATATTATCATTGACGAATAATGTATGGCCACACTAAACTCGGTTATGAAAAAATGATTTATTTCTATTGGTTCTCGTTAGTTGAAAACATTTTTTAAAAATTATTTTAAATAAAAAAAAAAACATATTTAAACTAATAACAACAATTTTATGAAAAGTAATATTATCTATACGAATATTAGTTTTTATGACATTCTGGAAAAAATATCTATGAAACATTAAAGTACATGTACAAATAAAACCGCTACGTTAAATTCTAGAAAAACCTTATTAAAAAAGAAGCAAAAATTCGTTTTCTTTTTACAGACATTTCGGCAGAACTTAAATTGACTTTATTATTTTATTAATGTTTTAACAGTTTCAATTTTTGCTCGACTATTTTTTGATTCTATAGTGGATACAAACAAGTTTTGGTTAGATGTTAGTAGAGTAAACGTATGAATTCGGTCGAGCCAAATACATCACAAGAGGACAATATATTATAATCTAGTCCGCACGGTAGTCTAATGGGGTAATAATAATAATAATAATAATGATATTGGTATTGATTCGCCTTGATCCAACATTTCCTTTTGTACAGCCGATTTAATGGTTCGCGTATAATAAATATTACAATTTCGTGTGTCTAATATGGAACTCGAAAAAAAAAAAACAAGTACATAAAAAGAAAAATGGAAATATCGAACGTTTACCTATTTTTTTTTTCTTTTTACTTTTACTGTGATGTATACAAATGCGGTTTGCAGACATGCGATATTTATCTGCCAATCTAGTTACGTGTATAGTGTAACTGTACGGTTGTGTATTTTTTTTTTTTTATTATCATTTTTTTTTTTTTCATTGTTGTAAACAAATATATCGCGCGTTTTTTTTGATATGGCCGCTACTAATGTACCTATTTAACGTTTGACAGAAAAAAATTAACCAAAGTGTGACATATTTAATTCCAGTTTTTTATTTATTTTATTTGTCTTATTGGTTTCCAAAAAAGAAGGCTCGTGGGACTACTTTTTCACCAACAATGAAGTAATGAAAAGAAAATAATGTGGTGTGTGTACACTGTACAATTTTTTTCCGGTCAAATGCGTTTTATATTTTTGACATTGTCATCAACCCACACTATACAAATTCAATACTATTTGACCGTGTAATCGTAGTACTTAATTACGTGATCGAAGGGGTCAGTGGACAAAGGTGTTAATTGACATTTTTTTCGAAAAAATGTTATAGTGTAATAAAAACGTTATAGAGCGTCCCCATACCGATATTTTTCCTATTTTCAGTTATTTCACATATTATATTGAATATCAAAAGAGTCCCCATAGCCTCTTATGTTCCATAGCTAATATTTAGAAGCAAATTAGAATTGATAAGTTTGCTTACACGCGGTTCACATGTGAACGATATTATTCATTTTCGATGCTGTTAGCGGTGTGTATATTGTGTTAGACTTCATGACCTGATTACTTTACCATTTTTTTTATCTATCGTTACAATTACTTGAGAATAAAAAATAAAACAAATTTAATACGTAACGTTTGTTTCGGGGCCACGTGTGCAAAATGTGAAATAACGGCACAAAAACATGCTCGGGTTGAAAAAAAAACGGTTTTTTTTTTCGCAAAACATTATATTATCATACATTAATGAATACAGGCAATAAACAAGTGTAACACATCATCCGGGTTTAATGCATTATAATAATATTACGCGTGTGGTTAAATCGAACCCGTTACATAAACAGTTCATTTTTATTAGTACATAAAATATAATATACAGTACAGTATAATATGTATTAGTACAATGAACGTTTTTATTATATTTACATACTTACATGCAGATATATTTGTACACATTATTATGTACTTTTTGGCTTCTATACTGATTGTTAGATATGCTTGAGTAGTTCCTTTTTTTTTTTAATCCACTTATTCGAGTTGGACATGCATTTCACATAGGTAGGTACATAGGTATGTGTGTAATAGAGATTTGTAATGTAATGATTTTGTTGTATTAATATTATCCCGATCAAGTTCCTTCGGGTGACAGTGGAAATAATTACAATTCGGTTCAATGTATAGCCGTGTTGTGTAATGAAAATCATATTTTGTTTCAAGTGTGGTGGGAGTTGTTTTGCTCTATTTTGTTATTCGGTAAAATTTAAATTAACTTAACGTGTATTATAATATATATCTACCTACTACTATTTTAGCAGACCGGTGTCTAATTTGGACAGGCCGTTAAATATAACGGAACGAAGAGTCACACGTTATTTTTACATAGCCAGCAGTATTTGCTTTATAAGCGCTACCTGTTAGATAATTTTTAATTGGTCTTAAACGGTACCGAAGAAAAAAAAACAAACAATAGCTGTGAACATTAATTATATACAACTGATTAGCGGGTCTACCGGTCCACGACGGCTTTATACCTACCCATGTTTGCTCGGTATAGGCACGTTCGTTTTTCTCACTACACGGTCACCACATCCATTCAATTCATTGGTGGAGCAGAAACATTCGAGTGGGCATCTTAAAATAACGGAAATGAATCAGGAACTCGGTCAAACTTGAGGTTGAAAAAAAAAAAATGCATTGTTTTTGAATACCATAAACGTGTACCCATACTCGTGTCGGTTAAGTACCGATTCTTCTACTTGTGTTCTATTGACAACATACACATAGCACGACCCAATTCAATCTATAGTTGAGTTTTCTTTTCCACATAGGTAAGCCTAAACGAAATGGATCTTTCAATGGGTTTTGTATGCCTCCATTGAACTGTTACTCGTGTAAAAGCAATGTTATTACGGTACACGCTACACCTCCTAATAGGGATTTTGGTAGGTCTTTACTAGTCCCCTGTACCATTGCCGATTGTGATGTACTATAAGTAGATACATTGATGTACGACATTGAACAATTATCGCGTTTATATATGTTATTTAGCTACCAGTTTGTGACTATACAAACCAACTGTGCCGAGTAAAATCTACTACTTTATATGCATTCATTATCATAATGTTAATAGAACAATTATTGAACGAATTGTATTCATATTCAAGTACGTATCGAGACGTATTTATAGCATCTCAAATTTAATTGTTACACAAGCTCTCAGTTGTTCAGCGGCTAATACTTAACTAAGTTCTATGTCAATTTCCTGAAAGTTTTGCGTATAACTTCACACGAGGCTTCTAAAAAACGTTTTCCTGGAATTGGGTAAATTTGTTTTGTGTCGATGGATAGGTACACTTAAAGCCTTTAGCGTATGATCGTTTAGTAACCATAGATGGCATTACAATAGTTCTAATAACAAATGTGGTATTATGGGTCCATTGACTCATAATAGTATATTTAAGAATAGTGATAAAAGTTACCCAAACATTAATCTAACTTTGATTTTTCTGAAAAAAAAACAGTGCCTAATAACATTATATTCAAAACACTATAGTGTTACAGCTACAGTTTCGTCGTTCAATTAATCACGCATGCATAGAGCAATACAAATCCAATAATTTTACAATTTAAATGAAATTATCTAGAAATATAATTGGAGCAGAAAACATAAACGTTTAGTCCTTCGAGCATCAAATTGAATACCGGACTTGCCGAATCTGTATGAACCGTTAAGTTAATTAACATATCGCGTGACAATTATAACTTTTTATATATAGTTGTCCTAAAAAACCTCAGTTTAACTAGATTTAGCTAAAATAAATTATTTTAAAACCTATTATTTTTTTTTTTTTCATTTAATGGTGTTCGTAATTTCCATCTCGTTAAATACCGCCCAATTACTGTTTAATTGAGTGTCTAATATTATTAAAATATTGTTTAAGTTTTAGAAAATGTCGTTAGGTGTTTTAAAAAATCACACGCTCTAAATAACGTTTATTCGGTTTAAATATCATAAACGTTCAGAGATTTTCAAAGGGTCATTGTCCACATTACCCGAGTCGCGAAAAATTATTTTTATTATTTTTTTTAATATGATTAATAAACTCGGTACACGACAATGTTTTAACCGTAGTATGTAGAGTATTAAAACGTTACCTTGTAAATATTGAGATGTAGCTATTTGTTTCGGCTTGGCTGATCTTATTTGTCGTTTATGGCACAACGCACCCGGCGATTGTATGCAAACGCTGCCCAACGGATATTGGGCGCAAGGTTTTTTTTTTTTTTGTGAAAAATAATTTTAAAAAACTAGGTTTGTGCAGAATAATACGTAGTAGTACTCGCGGATGCTTTATAATAAAGTAATATAATAATAAATAGTACACTCGATTGGGAGACTGCTATCACAATTGTGCTGCACCGGGTCAGTAACACCACTATAAACGACTAACAAGGTACTAACCGTCGCAGCGACGCGGTCCGGCAGATGCGGGCGTTGTTATCCTTTCGCATTTCTTCTACGCAAATAACAAGACCTCGTGAGAGGGGGAGGACACCCCACTGTTTCGGCAGTGCGTGTACTTCTCCTCCCCAAGGGCAAGTGTGTAACCTAGGTAACCTCTAATTTGAATTCTATGTGAAACTCATAAGATCATTTTAAATAGTTAAAAGATCTTAATTCGAGTGGTGACGATCAAGACGAGATTACGAGTGATTTTTACAAAAGACCAAAATAAAAATCGTATTCATTTATAGACGACGTTCAGTAGTTTCTTTCAATACACCTTCGAAAACTTAGGAAAATTGCAAAAAAAAATGTCAACTTTTCAAAACGGTACGAGTGTAATTGCGCTGTAGTAACTTTTGCAGACGCTTTCACTATTCCGGTTGAAATAGCCGACATGGTTTTTTTTTTATTATCATTATATTATGTTTCATAGAAAACGATAATTTTTCCAGACACTTTTGTACATTTTCCTGCAATAATTAACCGATGAAATGACGATGATGATGATGATGATAATAGCATCGGAGCGAACGGCCGGAGTGTCATTACCCATTTTTGTATGTACAATACATAATACACATGCTGTACTAGACAGCTATACCTATATGTAAGTACGAAAAAAGAGGCATTACCGTATTCATATGTAGGCTACGCTAGATATGAGATATACCTACGTGTATTGTTAATGAGTATTTATTTATTACTTCAATTTTTTCCGCGCTTCTCTGTGTTCCTTTTTATTCTCTTTCGTGTTTTTTTTCCCCTCGTCGGCCAGTCGAGTTTAATGAGCGAAACAGAATTGCATATCGTGATCTCATATAATAACGCCAGATTTGATATTATATTATAAATGGTGTTGGCCAAGCGGCAGGCAACGGCCGTGCACGATACCCATCTGATAAAGTGGAAAAAATGAACTTGAGCCACTGCGTTCCGGGCCTATTAAGATTCAATTTGAAACTTCTAGGTTAATTGAAATTCCGATTTTTGCACTATATACGCGCTTTTTAAAATATCAACAGAGCATATTATATATATATATATTCGTAGATTTATTTCCGGTACTGAGAAAGCAATTCGGGTGTTGGGACGTGAATTAAAGTTCACAGAAAACGAGTGCATTTTTTTGTTAGGTAATTTGAATTCATGTACTGTATTAAAATAGTTATGTACCCTTATGGTTCCAACCACTTCACAAATGCAATTTATATACTACAAATTACACAACTGACCAACTATAAGTATTTATGTTACCAAAATTAAGAATTCGTAATTAGAAAAAATGTTTTTTTTATTTTAAATACAATCGAAAAGTATTTGAAATAAGTGTTGGGAAAAATCGGTATTTTTTAAAATCCAACATTATTTGTAAATTTAGATTTTGATTCTAATTTCCGGGTTTTAATTTAATCGCATTCTAAAATTCAGCTCTACAAAAAATTGTCTTTGGATTCAAGTATAACTATAAAGTTGAACACATATATATTGTAATACATAACTGTCTTTAATACTATAAATACATTTAACACGTTAACGATACGTGATCCATAACCATTTATAGCTATTGTTAAACATTATGTGGGTTATATGTTTTGCGTTGGACTTCAAGTAAGTGGGCGATGAAAATAATTGTCTTTTTAATTTATCACGAAACTTAGTCGTGTTCAAACAATAAAAAGTTAATCATGAAAGCGTACAGACTTTTGGTAAGGCGATGGTGTATGAAGTATAATGGTATGTGATGTGATGTATTTTATTTATTATCTAATTATCATCATGCATAAAATATGTCCTATACATATTGTAGGTGCTTATTGCTTTAGTGCTTGAAATAATGTATGCAGGGTAATGAAAAGTTGGAAAGTACATAGTTGGAGTTTATATTCGAAATGTTTGTGTTCTCCTCTTATTATAGAACTAAAAGAGAGCTTGTTGTACTTTAAATTGGCGGAAGAAATAAAATAAAAATAAAGTTTGGCTGATAATATTTGTAACAACGTTTATATAACATACAAACTAAAAAGAAAAATTATTCTGAAGCTGTGTGTAATATATAGACTTTATTTCTCGTTATAGTTTATCAGTTTTTCGCCAAAAGTCAAATTTTTATTTTTAGTACAATTTTTGTTTTTATTTTAATACAATTATATAATACTATAGTAATTAGTATCATGTTTATAAGTGTATAAAAATATGGTTGGCGTTAAGGTATTTATTTTCAACCACATAACATGTTAATTTGTATACACCACCATTAGAATAGTCACGCTCGAATATCAACACAATATAAAAAAATTGCAATTTGTAGGTACATAAAAAATGTTAAAAATTCCAACTATTTTTGGCAAAAAAATTAAATTTAGTCTTAGTTCACAAATCACCGGTAAAATAACGGAAATGACAAAAAACAGTATTTACTTTATGACGGAGGAGATGTAAATTATAAATTAGTTTCTAGCATTCTTGGAAAAACTACTTTAACTGTATAATGATTATTAGCTAATAATTTCTTAGAAATAATAGTTTTTGTTCTTTTTTTGTCAATTATATTTAAATAATTTAGCTTACTAGAATTACGGGGTTTACTCTATTCCGGGATTTTCAGTATTTTAAAATTTTTGGACATGATGGGGTTAAAACCCTAGTGGTGTAAGTCACATTAATCTTAGTTTAAAAGGCTTAATAAAAACTTTTGCATTGTGCTAGTAGTATATATAAACTTATATTGTGCTACCATTTGATGGTAGAATTTATGAGTTACGGCTTGGTTCACTTTGCCTTTCGATGAATTAACTTCTTGATATGTGCTTACAATACTTAACTTTTACGAAAAATGTGACTTACACAACTATATTGTTTTAACCCTCCCGTATCATAAAATTACAGTTATATTCATAACTAAATATTTAAATACTATGTTTAACATTTATTCGAATACTTGTCAAGTCTGGGTATTTTTTGGGTGTTTTATAGGAAAATTTAATACATTTTTTTCGGTATGAAAAGCGTGTAAAAAACCAAAATCGGGTAATCTAAACATTAAATTTAATCGATGCCCGACTTTGGTATACTATAATAGTATGGTAGTTTTTATACTGTACATCATAGGTTTAGTGTAGGTAGTTATGTGGAATATTTGAATTATAATATCAGGTATCTGAAATTCAGGTTACGCCGGCGTATGAAATTACCTTAATGGCTATACTCTAAAAACGTTTTCGTTTTGAAAAATTAATGATATTTTTAAATTCTATGAAGCGTTAAGTGTCATCTAGTAATATTTTGCACGTAGCAGATAGCTACTTGAGTAGACCAAAAAATATATATATTATACATAATTTGTTTTGTATACTGTAAAAATACATTCTTTTTAGAAAAATACTTACACACTCGACTTTCCAACTATTATTATAAAAAAAAACAAACCATTAAATCTCGATCGCGAAATTCGTACTAATAAACGGAAATAAATATAGGTAGGTAATGTGTTTTGTTATAGAAATTAGCGCATCTCGTTTACTTAATAACAATGTGTAAATAATTATTGCTATTTTTTAGTATAGACATTTCAGACGCGGTTAATGTGTTTAGCCTAATTGTCACTTCTTACAAAATATAAATTCATCCTATCCGGCATAAAGATTATGAAAATCGTCAAGACTATAGACTTACTATAGATTATCAAAATCATTGTTATTCGTTTGTCTGTCGTTGTACTGTGGATGATGATGATAATATTATAGTTATTTTGTATAAAATCCGCTTTTTTTGTATAACTGTATCCTTTTATGATTAATGCTCTTTACGGTCGCGCTTCCGACTTGTGTAATATTAATTTTATTGTTGTCCAGTCATCACTATATATACCATAACGGTATAGCATAGGTACAGGAAATTAAAACAAATTATAAACAGTTTTCATTTTTTCGTCATCGTTCGGTTTAGTTATTTAAGTTTGAAACGGTGGATCAAGTCTTTCGGCGAACTAGATTTTAATCTAGTGTGATGACAGATTATTATTATATTTTTTTTTTGTTAGGTACAACAATATTGTTTTCAGCCTTAATGATATTTATTACAAAAATGTTGTTTTGTAGTTTAGGGCGAATACTGAAGAATATCACCTTCTTAAATTCGTTTCTCTCGATAAATGCCGCCCTCCACGTTCCAACGTCTTTGACTACAATATGCTATTATTGATGTTTCCCCCTGTTCGTCTTTAGTGTTTAAGATCAACAGAACTTGATATTTGTAGAGGAGTGACATATAAAAAAAAAAAATCATGTAATTGTGAGTGTAAAATTGAATTTTGGTCCGTACCATTGTGTGTTTTTAACAGCCGTCGTACACGGATCATAATATTAAATACCGTAGAATTATTATAGGTACAAAAAAAAAAAAAACAATACTTGCACATATAACCACGACGACAATGGGTACCCGTCTTCGCGGTCATACACACAGAGCCGCAGAACCCGCGATTCGGTGATTTACAGCTACCATGAGTACTGTCTACTGTTTACTACTGTAATATAATACATAGATACGTGCAGTATGGATCAAACAGAAAAAATAATGGAACAAATGAGTCTTTTTTAAGATATTACCATCGTTTAATATTTAGCATAAAAAAACAGTAGGTATAGTTTAAACCGAGTGCAGTACAACAAATTAGAACAGTATGAAATGTCACGATGGAGGTTATAAAAATTAAAAGCAATAACAATCTTGTGTACATAGAAACCTTTGAGTTGTAATTAGATAGTGTATAACATAAAGCCGACCAAGTAGAACCCCGTGATAGTACAGAGTAAGAGAAGACGTGGCTATCAATATTTCAACGTTTCTACAAGGTAACTTACAAAACATTAATAATAATTGTGGTGAACTTTAGTGTTTAGGCGGGCCAAAATCGGTAGGTGCCAAATACCGTTGCTCTCGTGGCCATAT